CTCACTCAGAGCGACCCCCATTGGGTTTCTGAGGCAGTAAATCTTTACGGAAGTAGATTGCCCCGTCTTTCTTCCGCAGAGCAGCTGGTGGGTTTGAACTACTGACCTTCTGGTTAGCAGTCAAATGGCTTAGGCACTGCACCACCAGAGCTCCTTTTTATGGCCTGTAAGGCACTGGAATTCCAATGAAGAGAAAGCAGCTGTGGTAAGAGTGAAACCAGACAGGTGCATTCCTACCTGGTATGACTCCCAGGTCAATAAAGAGACACCAGATTTTTGAGGTGCTAAGAAAGGAAGCTTTATTGCAGGCTGGCAAGCAAGGAGCTCAGAGACCATGTCTTAGATCAAGCTCCCTCAAGTTGGGGATTTCAGGGCTGATATGGGGCATGGAATAGGGAAGTTACAATTAATTGTTCATGGGATTTCCGGGAACTCATTTACTATATACATTAGGCTCATAAACACAGTGGAGGGTGTAGTGTCATGGCCACTGAGGGATGTGTTTTTCAGGTTCTGACATATATAGGTTAGTTAAAAACCAAAAAAACAAACTCACTGCCATGGAGTTGATTCTGACTCATAGCGACCCCCATTGGGTTTCCAAGGTGATATATCTTTATGGAAGTAGATTCTCCAGCCTTCCTTCCACAGAGTGGCTGGTGGGTTTGGACCACCAGCTTTCTGGTTACCAATCAAATGCCTTAGGCACTACACCACCTTAGGTTAGTTAAGGACATACCAAAAAACCCAAACTCACTGCCATTGAGCCGATTCCAACTCATAGTGACTTATTGCTCATGGGTGAACAGAAGGGGTTAGGGTTTGGTCCTTGCAGTCAGGCTACCTGGAGCAGGACATTCTTACATTGTTTTAGTACTTGTGGTCAGACTACCCAGAGCAGGGCAAGAGAACCAGGGTACAGCAAGGCTATTAAGGCCAAGCAAAGAGAGAAGGTGGTAAACTGTGCCTAGAGTGAAAGGATAAAGGGGCATGTGTTACTTTTAGATGCAGTGACTGGGCCATTGATGCCATCTGAAAGCAGTTTCAGCCGAGAAAAGAGGTAAAAGACATTTATTTTTATAAAGAGAGGGTAGATACAGGTGGACACAACTACTCTTTTAAGATGGCTGACAGCATGGAGAAAGAGCTAGAACATCATTAAGTGGTGTGTAGGGTTCAGGGAAACATTCTCAGATTTGGCTGTTTTGAAAGAGGAAAAAAATGGCCAATGGAAAGGGAGCAAGATTCACAAGAGGTAGAAGGGGATAAGCACAAGTGGAAGAGGTAGCTGTGAGGAGGGAAAAATGTGCCTCTAGAAAGGAAAAGAGGCGGCCTGGTGGCACAGTTGTTACATGCTCAGCAACTAACAAAAAGATTCAAACTCACTAGCTGCTCTGTGGAAGAAGGATGTGGCAATCTGCTTCTGTAAAGATGATAGCCTAGGAAACCGCATGGGGCAGTTCCAACTCACAAGGTCGCTATGAGTTGGAATCAATGCCACAGCACAAAATAACAACTAGGGGGTGCCAGTTTGATGGCCTATAACTTGTTAGTCAGGTGAGGTCAGTAGAGTTAAGGTGGTAAGACTGAGAGCTTTAGGAAAAAAGAAAAAGGTCTGGTATAGTTGACAAGGAGTGTGGACAGAGCCATTCAGGAAGACACAGCAGGCTTTCTGAGCAGCAATGAAAGCTCAGCTGAGATTAACTAGCATTAATTATGGTTCAAACTGCTTGGATTTTGTAACTTTTATTATCTGTTACAACCACAGGCTTGCAAAAAGGTCCAAGGGATTTTATTTTTAAAATGCAGTTGGTTAATAACTTTTCCATAAAAATTATCAGTCCACAAATATGAATTGCAATGGCCACCTAAGACGCAACAATTTGTCTCTTGTTATCCAGAGCAAAGAAGAATGAAGAAAACTAAAGATGCATGGAAACAATTAGCCCAAGGGACTGGTGGACCATGTGAACCTTACTTATGCAAGTAGATTGCCCAGTCTTCCTTCCGTGGAGTGGCTGGTGGGTTTGAATTATCAGCCTTCTGGTTAGCAGTCAAATGCCTTAGGCACTATACCATCTTCGGTTAGTTAAGGATATACAAAAAAGCCCAAACTCACTGCCATTGAGTCAATTCCAACTCATAGTGACTAATCGCTCATGGGCAAAGAGAAGGGGTTAAGCCTACATGACCCTGAGACCAGAAGAACTAGATGGTGCCTGGCTTGGAAAGGGATCAAAATAAGAGATCCTGGATAGAATGGGAGAAAAATGTGGAACAAAATTCAAAATAATAAAAAAGACCAGGCTTACTGGCCTGACAAGATACTGGTAGAACCTCTGAGACTATGGTCCCTAGTCACACTTAGGGACTGGAATTGAACTCACTCCTGTAGCTTCCAGCCAAATGACAGTCTGTAAGGTGAACATTTACATCAGGTAGGTGCACTCCTTAGAATGATCAACCATGGAAGACCAGAAAGACAGTATTTGCACAGGGAGACAGCTCAGAAGGCAGGAATGCATAGGAAAAGAGGACACAGGGAAAAGGTAATCATGGAAAGGACGTGGGAAGAGAGCTGTTACATTATGGGGATTGCAATCAAAGTCATGAAACATAATGTGTATGAACCGTTGTACGGAAAATGAATTTGCTCTGTGAACTTTCACCCAAATCACAAATAAATAAGTATGAATTGCAAGTCCATGATGCCACAAGAATGGCTTTTCTGGACATGAAGTCTACTTGGCATTATGCTAACAGTCTTTCCTTTGCTGTTGATTTTGTCTCACTAATTTGTGTTTTAGAATAGAACTGTTCCATAGGGTTTCTCGGTTGTCCTCTTTACAGAGACAGCCAGCCAGGGCAGTTTCTTCCTCAGTGCCAATCTTTCAATTACCAGCAGAGTGTTAACTGTTTGCACCACCCAGGAACCTTGCAAAGTCTTTAGGGGCACAGCCTTCAGATACTGGTTGTAACTCCTAAGGCTGTCAATTTCTTTACATAGTCTCATCATCAGGATAAGGAGCTCTGGTGGCATAGCGTCTAAGGCATTTGACTGCTAACCAGAGGCTGACGGTTCAAACCTACCAGCCATGCCTTGGAAGGAAGGTTGGGAATCTACTTCTGTAGTGAGACCACCTCAGAAACCCAAGGAGGAGTGCTGTCAGTCGGATCCAACTCGATGGCAGTGAGGTTTTATTTATTTTTTTTTTATCATCAGGATTCTCTTAAGCAATTGATTTTTTTGAGTGGATTTTTTTATGTGTGATTTGTGTATGTTACAAATTGTGAAGGTAATTAAGATATTTTTTCAAGTCAGCTAATAGTTTAGAAGATGAGTATTTAGCTTTCCCTTCTGGCTAAGATATAAACAATGTATTTTTTGTCTCTTTTCAGCCTCCAATATATGACTCTACCCTTGTTCTTCCTCCTTACTGGTTTCTTTGCTCCATTTTCAAATCCCAGAAGCTGGCTTAAATTCTTTCTCGGAGTAAGAGAACATGTATTAAATGTATAAATATTTAAGGTACTTCAAATACTTTTAAATAGTTGAGGTTAATTATGAAATAAAAAAAGAATGTCTGCGATTATAAGGCAAGACTCAAAAAAAAAAGCTTCTACAAAATATCTTACAACTATCCATTTCAAGAATACTGAACAACAGTGTAGAGAGCAGAAAAACAAATTTTTAACAGCAAAATGAGGGTAAAATTTTAAGACTCTGACGGATGCATTTTAAGATGACATCTAGCATAATTGTGCCTATTAATATAAGAAAAGCAATTTGCACTTTCTAGTAATCTTGTGCCATAGTGGTTAAGCACTCAGCTGTTAACTGGTTAGAACACACCAGCCGCTCTGAGAGAAACAGTTGTGACAGTCTGCTCCCTGTGAAGATTACAGCCTTGGAAACCCTATGGGGCAGTTCTCCTGTCCTATAGGGTCACTATGAGCCAGAATCAACCCAACAGCACTGGTAATAGTAATCTTGAAAGTGTTCTTTCTAAATCAACTAACACTATTAAAAACCAGTGTGTTACCTAGTTTTTTATCTGTTCACCAGTTGAGCTTTGTGACCTTGGCAACTAAATTACTTATGTCTTCATTTGAAAAATGGTGCCAACAGAACCTACCGCATGAGATTTTGAGAACTTACTAAGTTAATGTTAGTGAGGTGTTTATAACATTTTGAATGCATAAAAATTTGGTAGCTATAATTACTTAGGCCTTACAGTTGATAAGACACATAAGCCTCTCTGGTCAATGCCAAAACTCGGGACCGAAACAACACAATGAATAGCTGGATTCCAGAAACCCAGGCTAATGTGTAATTGAAGGAAAAAAAGCAGGATCTTTAGAGCACCCTGCTGAGAAATACCAATATAAGTCAACCCTTCAATAAAAACACCCTCAGTTAATGGTACTCTGGACAAGTCTGACACCCTATCTCCACGTCAATCGGCTCCTAAGGAGCCCCCTAATGCAGTGGTTACAGTGCTTGGTCACTAATGCTTGGCTGGATCCCACCAGCTGCTTCAAGGGGATAAAGGTGTGGGAGCCAGCTTCTGTGAAAATTATAGCCTTGGAAGCCCTGTGGGGAAGTTCTACCTGGTCCCATAGAGTCTTCAGAAACAATTAGTTTGAGAGCCCTACTGAATTCCTTTATTAAACAAATATGCACTGAAAACTTACTTTGATCATGCACTGTACTAAGCTTTAATTATTACAAATCATTAAAAACCAACACACATCTTGCTTCAAACTATCAGTCAAATAAAAGCTCCTAGACATTACCAAAAAACAAAATTGCTCTAAAACATAAAACCTAGCATTAATTTAACAGAAATCACAAGTAGAAGCCTATCACAATTTCAAGCCTTAAAATACCAAAAACGTGTAAACTGTGGTAACAAATAAATAAACTTTGGGGCCTATTAGCCAGAGTCTATTCTACATGGAAACTATTTGGGAGGCGTGAAGAACGGAGAAACAAATGCTTAGTCCCACTGGATCATTCGCTCCTCTTCAGGAAGAATACTCCAGTTCGGGGAAGCCATATCTCGGGCCAGCCAGTTGAAATCGTCAACGTCGTTCCAATTATTCTTGCTCCTATCTAAACCAGAGCCCTCGAAGTCCTTGTCGATGCCCGGGTAGGTCCAGGTGTAAGGGGCGAACTGGATGCCGTTGCAGTCCTCTATAATGGCCCTACTGGTCACCTGCAGGAAGATGCGGGTGTCTTTCGTAGTGTGGACGCGGAGCTGCTGGCAGGCCACGACCAGCACGCAGTCACTGCAGTCCTCCAGGAACACAGACGCGGACACCGGCCCGCAGAGCACCGTGCAGTTTCGGGCTTTGGTCAGCCACAGTGTGTTGGGATTACCGTACAATCTAACAGTGCAGTTGTTCAGCTCGGTCAAAAGGACATCGCGCTGATGGAGATCTTCAGCTCTCTTCTCCAAGACTTGAAACTCCAGACCGGAGAAACCACAGACCCAGCTGGCGCCGAAGTCTCGCTCCTCCTTCAAGGGCTGCGGAGAGGCCCGAATGCCTTCAGTTAGCCGAGCGCCACGAGCCGCATCTACTTTGGAGGCGGATGCGGCATCCTTCTTCCGTGTCTTGAAAGCGAAACGCTTCTTAGGCTGAAGTTCCTGACGCCGCTCTGCTAAAGCCGCCTGCAGCCGCGCCAGCGCCTCCTGTCCCTGCCGCAGGTCGTAGGCGGCCAGGAACAAAACTGAGTCGTTGAGAAGTTTCTGCAGCCCCTGGAGTCGGGTGGCTGCCTCCTCCAGCCGCTCGGCAGAGTCCCCACCCTCCAGAAGCTCTTCCACTGCCGCTCGCTCCCGAGAGAAAGCAGCGGCGAAAAAGTCGCTCTTCTCCTTCTCAACCTCCTGGTTTTGTCGCTTTTGCTTCCTCTTTTCCACTTCCAGTTGCCGCTCTTGTTCACGTCTCTGAAGCCGCTCAGGAACCATGTTCAGGTCCCGCTGGGATCCCATGTCCCCGTTCCCCACAACAGCAGCTGAGTAACTAGCAGCCTCCATCTTGACTTCACGCTTCCTTTCTCTCGCCTTGCTTCCTCCGGGCGCGCCCTCCGTGAGGCCTCCCACCAACGCTCCCTGTGATTGGTTGGCCTTGGTGACGTCAAGCCCTGGGCTTATCTTCTTCGCCCATTGGTTCTTTCGTGTCAGATGGGGCGGGGACAGGGGGCGTGGCGGGCTGACAAGGGGGGTGGGGAGACAAAGGTCCTTGTAGATGGGTGGGGTGGTAGGCAGGCGGGGGAAGCTTTTTTTTTCTCTTAAAGGGGCAGGACTTATATCCGGGATTGTGGGGTGAGTTGCAGCAGCGGCAGCTGCACATGTGGGTTTGTTTATAAGAACAAGGTTAGAAACTCGTAGGCCTCCCCCTCCCCCCCAGCTCCTCCCTGCTACCACCTTACAGGCCAGAAATCCGCTGCTAGGGGGGAAATATGTGTGTGTGGGGGTGGTGGGACAGGTAGTGGTGAGAAAGATGGGGGGGGTGGAATATTGCACCGCCCGACCCATGTCGGAGGGAGCTGCAGCTGGAACAGCTGGCTAGGGAGCTGCATGCATGCCGTCTGCTTTTTTCTTTTCCCTTCCACTATTCCTTCCCCCAATCCATTCCTGCCGCCCTATAACCCTCATCCTATGCCCCCCCCGCCAATCGCTGCGGCCTGGGGGTTCCTGAGTCACAGCAGACAGATTTGGGGACGGGAGAAGGCTAGGGGCATGGCAATGGGAGACTAGCTTCCTCACTGTAAACCGGCTCGGAGGGCTGTAGGGGAGTCTAAAAACGGATTACTATTTTTTTGGCCAATTGCTGCAGTTGGAGCGGTGGGGGCGGGGAAGGGTGCGATTCCACACCCCCTTCCTCTTCCACCCACGCCCTCTCCCCGGTTCTCGACCACTCCCATCGCAGCTGGGCGCCGCTGGCCGTGTGGAAGGGAGACCCCAGCCCCGGGTTCTGAAGCTCTCTGCTGGGCGGGCGGGCGGTCTTTAGGAAAGCGAGAAGGGAAATGTTACATTATTTCTAGAGGTGTGGGAGGGATTTGTCACCGGAAGTGAATGAGCCCTGCCCAAAGTCAGGACAAATGGGAGGAGGGAGTGGGCCACCCTGACGGAGCACTCACTGGCAAAAACCCAGGGCTGTGGCGGGGCGAGAACCCTAGATGCAGCCAGCTGCCCAGGCGCGGCAACCTCGTGCCCTCGATCCTCCTCCGCGGAGCTCTGTAGCCCCGGCCGCCCTTCCAATCTTCAGTTTCACTCGTGTTTCCGTCCCGGTTCCCATCCTCCGTCCTCTTTAATTGGAATATTTAACTGCCCAAGAAACTTGAAATTTCACCGATATGCTTGCATTTTTATGCAGAGAGTGGAGGAATTGGGAGCTGTTGAATTAATTCTGGATTAAAACTGATCTCCCAATTTTTCACGCTCCGCTATCCTTGCCTTCCCATTAAAACAAACAAAACCCGGGACTGAACAGTGTTTCTCCGCAGAGAATCAGGAGTTGCCACTCCGGTGGCAAATAACATGCGGGAGAGGGGGGGGGTCTTGTGTTTCTATGGGTATGTGCGCGCACCCGGTGGAAATGGAGGTGCTGAAAAAATGCTTCCCTTAGGCTTGTATAGATTCGTCGTTTTCTCGTGCTTTGTACCACGGATGAGACTTGTTTTTTCAAAATAAGTTTATTCCACGAAGATATGGGTCTGAGGCTGGGGAATGAAAATAGAGCTAGTTTACTTATACAAGTCAGTATAATAGCTGTTACGAAGTTTTGATTTGAGCAAAGGTTTAGAGAAGACTTGGCTAGGAACAGGAATCTCACTGCTTCCTTTAAATTTTTCAGCGACTGAATCTGTCCCCCTCCTACTGAGAAAATTTGTAGCCAAAGAAGGTCTGTCTGTCTATTAGACCTGCAGGTTGCAGCTAGAGTCAAGCAACATTTCTTATAAGCCGTAGTGAATCTATGAGTGATTGTAAAGTGTAGGCTGTTATCCACTGTAAAATGGAGTTAAACATAAAATGCTTCCAAGAACTTAGTTTGCATTCAGCAACAGGTTTTGGCATACAGTCTAAAAAACTTTGGAAATTTCTGAATATTTTAAGTTGACTAATTCATACTTCTTTTTTTTTTTTAACTTTTAATTGTGATTTGGCTGAAGTTTTATAAAGATTTGTTTTACATTCAGCAGTTCATGTTTTGTAACACTGTTTACATTCTCAGCATTGTAACAGCTCTCCACTGTGGTCACCCTTTCCCTATGTCCTTCCTGCCTATGCATTCCTGCCTCTACCTTTTCCCCTGTGCAAATGCTGCCCTCTGATCTCCTGTGGTTGATTGTTCTGAGGACTGCATCCCTCTGGTGTAGGTGTTTGGCTTGTAGGTCTGTCTATTGTTTGGCTGAGATTTAAGAACAGGAGTGAGTTCATTTCCAGGCCTGATTGGCTTGGGGCCATAGTCTCTGGGGTTTAGGACCAGTAAACCTTTTCTTTTTTTTTTTTTTAATTTTTATTGTGATTTGGGTGAAAGTTTACAACGCAAATTGATTTTCCATACAGCAGTTCATACACATTTTGTTTCATGACATTGACTGCAATTCCCCACAGTGTAACAGCTCTCTTTGCACTTTCTCTCCATAGTTACCTCCTCCCTGTGTCCTCTCCCATGCCCTCCCGCCAACTCCCCCCCTCCCCCAGCTATTTCCCTGTGGAAACACTGCCCTTCTGTTCTCCATGATTGATTGATTGCTCAAAGGAGTGTATCCACCTGATGTAAATGTTCACCCCACATGCCTGTCTATTGTTTGGCTGGAAGCCCCAGGAATTAGTTCACTTTCAGACCTGAGGGGTAACTATGGGCCATAGTCTCAGGGGGTCTCACCAGGCTCTATCAGACCAGCAAACCAGGTCTTCTTCTTCTCTTTTTTTTTTTTTTTTTTCATGATTTTGAGTTTTGTTTTACATTGCTCTCCCACTCTATCCAGGATCTCCTGTACTGATCCTTTCCTGAGTGGTTGACAGTGGTAGCTGGGCACTATCTACTTCTTCTGGTATCATGGTCATACAGGCTGAGGATCACATGGTCTACTAGTCCCTTGGACTAATTGTTTCCATGCATCTTTGGTTTTCTTCATTCTTCCTTGCTCTGGTTGAGGAGAGACCCATTGTTGCATCCAGATGACCACTTTCCAGCTTTTTCTGTTTGTTTGTTTTGTTTTCAAGCTTTTAAGACCCCAATTGCTAATCACCAAAGTAGGATGTAGAACAATGATTTTGTGTAGTATGTTATGCCAGTTGCGCTTGATGTCCCCTGCAAAACCTGGTCTTTTTTAATGTATTTTTAAATTTTGTTCCACATTTTCTCTCCCACTCTGCCTAGGATCCCCAATTTTGATCCCTTCTTGAGTGGTTGGCATTGGTAGCCAGACACTATCTAGTTCTTTTGGTCACTGAGATTCTCGTCCGTTAGTCCTCTGAACTATTTCCATGTGTCTGATTTTCTTCATCCTTCTTTGCTCCGGATGAGGAGAAACCAATAGTTGCGTCTTAGATGACTGCTCACAAGCTATTAACACCCCAGTGGCTACTCACCAAAGTAAGATGTAAAACATAATTCAAACATTTTAAAGACAAAAATGACAGGTCATCCAGTGGACCCAGTCTAGTAGGGGCAGTTTTGAAAACTGATACAGGCCTGAATGGGAATGGACAGAAGTCAGTGATGTGGTCATCATGAAGTGTTGGTTCAACAGTTCTTTACAACCCCAGCAATGCTGTTGACTGAGTTAGGTAGTCAAGACATGGATATAAAGTTGTTTCTGGGCTCCAAAGCAGTGGGAAGGCTGCAATGCTTCTGGCATTGCTCTACTGCATTTGTGATCTCTTTCTGACGTTTGATGGCAATTCAGTGTTTATCCTTTAAATGGATCTCAGCTTGTCAGAGGTAAGTGCCTGTTCTGATAGAAGAGGAAAAGTTGATGTATTACAGCAGAAATGCGGCAAAAGGCAAGCAGTCGGAGTTCTGAATCCTATTTTCAAAGATAACTTAGAACCAAAAAAACAAACCCAATGCCATCAAGTTCAGTCTGACTCATAGCGACCCCCATTGGGTCTCTGAGGTGGTAAATCTTTATGGAAGTACATTGCCCAGTCTTCCTTCCACCGAGTGGCTGGTAGATTTTAACTGCCTTAGGCACTGTGCCACCAAAGCTTCTTAAAATAACTTAAAGGGGCTTGTGAATCAAAGTACTGCTTTCTTCTAGACATCTTGAAAAATGAAAGAATTCTAAGGTGTTAGGGATTTAAAAACAATTATTTAACACTAATTTAGATGCTTTATGGTTCTATTTTCCTGAAAGAAGTGCAGTCAGAATGCTTCTTGGAAGCGAGAATGGCCAGACTTCAGCTCATCTACTTTGGTCATGTTTTCAGAAGGGACCATTCTCTGGAGAAGGATATCATGCTTGGTAAAGTGGAGGGTCAACGTTAAAGGGGAAGGCCCTCAACAAGATGGATTGACACAGTGGCTGCAACGATGGGCTCAGGTATAGCAAGGATTGTGGAGCTGGCACAGGACTGGGCAGTGTTTCGTTCTGCTGTACATAGGGTCGCTATGAGTCAGAGACAACTCAATGGCACCTAACAACAACAACAACAATATGGTTCTATTTGTTAGATTTCTTTTTTAACTTTTTGAAAATTTCAAACATACATCAAATAGAAGTGTTGTGAGAAGGCATGTATATCCATCACCCAGCTTCAACAATTACTAACTCACAATCTTGTTTTACCCTGATTATCTTAAAGCAAAATCCACACACCATATGTATTATTTCATATTTAACAATTTATAACTTTCATTACATGTCTCTACAATGTAAAGACTTCCCTTGTAAAGCATAACTACAATACCATTACCACACTAATTAAAAAATAATATGATATTAAGGAGATATATATATAGCTATATATGGAGGGATACATGATACTATGATACATCTATATATCTCTATATATATAGATTT